AATAGGTACCGCACTGGCGGGAAGGTAAACAGTGTTTCAGTGTGCTGCTCTGGTTCGCCAGAAGTGGCTTAGTCATGCTGGCCACATGACCCGGAAGCTGTACGCCAGCTCCCTTGGCCAATAAAGCGAGATGAGCGCCGCAACCCCAGAGTCGGTCACGACTGGACCTAATGGTCAGGGGTCCCTTTACCTTATGCTGTGGTCCATTGAAAATCACTCCCAACATCCCAACTCCAATGCCTATAATTAAATAAAGGGGGGGGGAATCACAGATATCTTACACTGGGTGTCTGGGGAAATAAAACAAATGAAAGTATAAGATGTATTTGTGTTTGAGTAGAGCTGAAGCATGACTGGAGAAAATAGGGCAAAGTGCAGTGGGGAGTCAAGTAAGGCTATATGCACCACTTGAAAAGAGAGGTGATGTCTCTTGCCTTTGCATTCATTTCCTTCCCAAAATCCTGAAAGGCCTGGCAGAGCTCATTAATTCTTTTTCTCACTGACAGACATTTCAGGCTCATTTTAATTGTGGACAAAAAGTTTTCTGGAAAATCCTTCTAGGAGGTGCAATCATAAGGATTGCCAGGATGTGTGTGTCTTTGGCTGCTTAAACCTTTTCATTTTGCTTTTGTCTGTAATCAAAAAAGAAGTGAAAAAGCAAGATTGACTTTAATGTATTTTTAGGGGGCTTCTTTCTGCTTTTTTACTCTTTGTTTAACAGTGTTCACAAAACACTGGGTAGTAGACAACTGAGTCTTACTTAGAGTAGACCTGTTGAAATTAATGGACCTAAGTTAACCTTACTAATTAATTTCAATGGATGCACTCTTGAGTACAGGGACGTGGGTGGTGCTGTGGTCTAAACCACTGAGCCTAGGGTTCGCCGATTGGAAGGTTGGCGGTTCGAATCCCCGCGATGGGGTGAGCTCCCGTTGCTCGGTTCCTGCTCCTGCCAACCTAGCAGTTTGAAAGCACGTCAAAGTGCAAGAAGATAAATAGGTACCGTTCCGCCAGGAAGGTAAATGTTGTTTTTGTGCGCTGCTCTGGTTTCACCAGAAGTGGCTTAGTCATGCTGGCTACATGACCCGGAAAAACTGCGGACAAACGTCAGCTCCCTCGGCCAGTAAAGCGAGATGAGCGCTGCAACCCCAGAGTTGTTCATGACTGCACTTAACTGTCAGGGGTCCTTTACCTTTTCCTTTTACTCTGAGTAATGCTATGTTGAATGCTACCCGATGTATCCAAATTAAAAGTTGTTCTTAGAGCCTGTTGTGGTTTTCCTGCCAATGGAAGGAACTATATTGGCAACTGTCTCCGAACCACATGCAAAGTGCAGGATTGCCCGTCATGATAGTGAAGAAATTTGACCAAATTTCTTTTATCCTAACCACCAGCTGAACATGTAAAAACAGAAGAAATGACAAGAGGAATATTTAAATTTTAGGTTTGCTCTGATCTACTATTGCATGCTTACAGGGCCGCGGGTGGCGCTGTGGGTTAAACCTCAGCACCTAGGACTTGCCGATCGCATGGTCGGCAGTTCGAATCCCCGCGGCGGGGTGAGCTCCCGTCTTTCGGTCCCAGCACCTGCCAACCTAGCAGTTCGAAAGCACCCATAAAGTGCAAGTAGATAAATAGGGACCGCTTGCTAGCGGGAAGGTAAATGGCGTTCCGTGTGCTGCGCTGGCTCGCCAGAGCAGCTTTGTCACGCTGGCCACGTGACCCGGAAGTGTCTCTGGACAGCGCTGGCCCCCGGCCTCTTAAGTGAGATGGGCGCACAACCCTAGAGTCAGACACAACTGGCCCATACGGGCAGGGGTACCTTTACCTTTACCTTTACTATTGCATGCTGGACTGTGGGAGGAAGTAGCTGGCATCAGTTTTAGGATTTGCTATAGTTGTAGATGAGGGATGGGGGACCTCCAAATATTCCATGGACTCCAACTCCCAGCCAGTGTGGCCAATGGCCTTATTTCCTTTTCAAGTAAAGACTCAGATCTGTATGCTTTCCTCACAGCTATACAGAAATTAAGCTGGTTGTCTTCTTTTGGGGACCTTGGGAATTAGTGGGGCCTAATTTCTGAGAGAGGACTTGAACAGAGTGACCTGAATAGAAGCAGCAACTTTGAGTTGTGGTTTAAAACATGGCACAATAGTTTATGATGCCACTGAGTCATCAAAACGTCTACTCTATCCTTGGGCAAGGCACTTACCTTTGAGTTTGTTTGTTTGTTTCCAGTCCACAAAGTGGATGCACTTACATATTTGTAGGGTCCTTTTCCAGGATGAACGTGATAAGCAGTTTGAAGTGCTTCTCACACTGAAAGTGCTAGTGGCAAAATTCTTGGAAATCTCTTCTTAATTGTCCCACGCACTGAAGTGGGATATGTTGTGCATTACATTATAGCAGGGACTGCAATCTGTTCCCAGTATAAAAAACTGGCAGTGATCTAACCATTTTCATTGGAGGGAAGGGCCAAAGTTGTGGAGCTTTTTTTAGGGGCCAACAGTACATTCGGTGATCACTTTCTTTCATCCCGTGATCTACCCGATAGACATCACTGCATTATAGCTTTCAGTTGTGGCTCTGTCATTCATATAAATGACCTGAGTTTCGGGAATCTCTGCCCCCATTTGTCTCACTATGATAATAGCTCCAAAGCAGCCCAGGTGTGGAATGATAAGAGGGACTTTCAGGGCGATGCCTGGCAAATGAAGATCTCCAGCAAACATTGTGGGAGTTAATGATTTGTAAGTTTAGATGGTATTATTGGTTTCACAATTGAAAACAAGTTAATATATTGAAAGGTCAAACATGACACAGTCCATAATTTGAATTTCTCCACCATAACATGAGGAACTATTTAGTTTTCACAATTTATTTTGTAACGCATTTGTCATATATCTTTGTGATAACAATTATATATTTCAGTTTTCCTAAGTTCTGCTCCTGTTTCACAGTTATTGTGAAATAGCTGGTAATACCAACAAAACAGAAGTGATGTATTCTGGTTCTGTGTTTAAACTGCAGTCCGTAGAGTTGGTTGTGACAGAGCAGGGCACATTAACCTAAATATGCAAGTCAAGTCTTCCATGTAGAAAAGCAAAGCTTTGATTCCACCTTCATACAAGATAAGCGAGACACAGCCACGCAGCCTGCATAGCAGTCACAAATGCTGAAAGTCTGGCCTGAGAGCCCACCACATAGTCTGTAAAAGAGAGAATAAGTTTTTCCAGTTCACTTAGTCTATTTAGAGTAGACTTCTTGTGAAGGAATGCCCAGTTAGACAAGAAGGTGGGACCTGCCACAAAATACTACATTGTCTTTTTATCTCACAATAGGAATGTTTATAAGAAGAGAAGAGTCTGCTAAATTAGGTCAGTGGCCCATCTAGGCCACAATCCTGTTCTTAGTGGTAAATCAAATGTTTAGGGGAAATGCAAAAGCAGCACCTGAATGCAACAGCACTGCCTCCTTGCGATTCCCAGAAACTGTTCAGCCAATCTGCTACAACCTCCCCCAGCAGACCAGCCATCCCCACACCAAATTCCCAGTTTCTGTATCCCAATGTGAGTATGCTTAGTCCTTATGGACAGGCTCCCCCTCACACCTAAGTTGGCCGATACCTCTCTTTGGTTTCTCAGCACCCCTGTTTTAGATCAGTTTCTGTTGGCACTCACCACCTGAGTTTGCTCTTAAAGGGAGTGATGTACTGCATTAACTAAGCCCATTCTCCCTGCGTCTCAGCTAGGAGAACTGACATGCTGGGATGTCACAGCATGTACAATATTAGGTTCATCCATATTTGTAAGCTACAGGGTTGATAGTAAGTACCCATCCTTATCGACTTGTATGAATATCTTTAAAAGGATACCTAGTTTTGGATTTCCTCTTTGAAAAAGCTTTGCATTTTAAAATTTAGGAAACAATTTAACCCTGTTGTGTATTTAGGATGGCGATGTAATTATATATAGGGCTGAGGCACAAAGTGCTAGGACACCTTAACACAAGGCTCAGTGCAAGAACATTGCATCCTAGTGCAATGAGCCCTGGTTGAAAGTCCTTTGCTGTGTAAAATAGTGAGAGTTCACAGGAGGCAGCCTAAAAAACTTCCTGACAATGGGGAGCTCATCTGGGCTTAAACCTCACAACCTTTAGAAAACACTTTGATACATTTTTATTCTTTCAAGCCTTCAGTGAGAATATGTAGCTTTTGCTTAAGATGTCAAAAGGTTTTTGCTTATGTATCTTACTCATGTTGATGTTCTATAATTTCATCATTGTTATGGGTGTTATGGTCCTCTGTACACTGTTTGGGGTTTTGCTCAGTTGAATAGGTATATTCACATAAAAATTGGTATTAACTTGATGACAATTTGAGAGTAAACATAAGAGGAACCCTCCTGGATTCAGCCAAAGGCTCGTCTAGTCCAGCATCCTGTTTTCATAGTGGCTAACCAAATGACTATGTAAAGTCTGTTAGGATATGAGCGCAATAGCATTCTTCTTACTTGCGATTCCTAACAATTTGTAGTCGAAGGCACACTGCTTCAGTCCTAAGGACTGTATTTTACTAGTGCCTCGCTTCAAAAGAATGTTGGGTGGGCTTAATACTGGTCTTAAGAATGTCTAGCCAAGTGTATCCAAATGATTGGACATTTGCGCATACTTCGCCAGCTTAAACTGTGGAATTTGGCTTTAGCTGGTGAAGCTAGCATAAGCAGAATTGATAGCTGTAGAGTTCTGAGCCTTTATAGGATTTGTTAATCATAAAATGGTAGAGTTGGAAGGACAAGGGACCTCTAGTCCAACCCAATGCATAATGTTGCTCCTGTCAGGATAAGTGGCGGTTCTGCAGTGATCACTTCTTATGGCTTTTGGTAAAATATGCGGTGAAGTAGATTTAAAAGAACCTCCTCTGTAGACCGTAGGTAAGTTTGCTGGACTAGACAAGTGTGAGAGATGACAAACGCCATCTGATGATGTTTTCTGTGTTTAGCTTGGCATTGCAGTGGGTTTCCTACTGCCTCCAGTTCTGGTTCCCGATGTGGAAGAGGAGGAGAAGCTGGCCTATCATATTAGCATCATGTTTTTTATGACTGCAGCTGTGGCAACAGCACTCTTCATCTTAGTAGCTTTTGGTAAGTAGATTTAAGTGGGATACAGTTTAAGGCTGATTTATAAATCAGGTTTGGACACTCTGTGAACTCCGGAAATTGTGAACTTCTCTTTTTGACACCTGCTTCCTGTAACTATGTACTGTCTGGAAATAGTAAATCCATATGACAAACCTCTAGGTGAGAATGATGACTAAAGTTTGCACCAGATAGGTTTATTCTTTTCTGAAATCGGCTTCTCATCAGCTAATCACCAGGGCTTGCAAAGCGCCATACACATGCCATGCAAGCGGTGGTGATCAGTTGATTGCTGAAGCTTCCATGGCTTCATCGCCATCTGATCGCTCATAAGGGCCAAAGGAGATCATGTGACATCAGGTGATTGACAGGCTGAGGCCCCACCCATCTGTCAAAAGCAGCCCACGGGATGAGGGAAACAAGTTCCCAGCCCCTGCTCTGCAAGGTTCTTTGCCAATGCCCCTATGTTTGTTCTGCAGAGTCAGGCACAGCATCCAATCCATTCCTAACTTCTGGTTCTGTGCTCTTTCCATAGTGTTCAAGGAGAAGCCTGCACATCCTCCGAGCCGGGCCCAAGCCTTGATCCATACAGCATCACCTGAGGAATATTCCTATCTGCAATCTATTGTCCGTCTGTTTCGCAATGTCAACTTTGTGCTTCTAATAGTCAGTTATGGTAAGGTTCCTTTCCTGCTGATAAGAAGCAGCCAATATGGCAGTTTCTCTGTCATTCATTTTCTTTAATTCTTAGGCTGCCTTTGTGCCATACAGTAATCAAGGCAGCAAGCAAGTAGAAAACAGCAAGTCCTTTTGTAATAAGCCGTCCTTTAAAAACAACAACAACACAGAAAACATTCCAAATCGAGTTAAAGATAAAATAAAATTAAAATTAATTCTGCTTTTAGAAAGACACATACCAAAGCATCCAATTTCCTTTAAGACAGTCTGCAACTAATATTTGTGTGAGGAAAGAGCACAGTCAGCACCACATCCCAGGATCAGTTGTGATTTGTGTTCCCCTTTCTGTTAGCCCCACCTACGTAAAAAGGTGCGGGAGGTAGTGGGGGGAGGGGGACAGAGGTGCCTGGCGTGCTCTGGTCCATGGGGTCACGAAGAGTCGGACACGACTAAACGACTAAAACAAACAACAAATGTAAAAGGTTGTAACTTTTTATTAAGAAGAAAGCTTCCTTGTACTTAGTCTTGATAGAAGACTCTTGCTGCTGTCAGCACCATCATCAAAATGTTTAGAGGCACTCCTCTGATTTCTTCATGTCTCAGTATTGAAGACACAATGAACATTTCTATTCCACTCCTCTTTATTCCACTGCTTTAAATGCTAAACTCCATAAGAAACAGTTTGCTAACTTTGATAAACAACAACTCCTCTGAGCACATGCAATTTCATATTTTTAACTCAATTAGTCAGTTGAATATGAAGGTTGAAACTGGAAGCTCTATTTGCCAACACGGTACAGAAGGATAGTTTTAAAACAAGTATTTTTCTTCCTAATTTTGCAAATGCATACACCAAAAAACCTTTAACAAACCAGCAACTCAGAGAAAATAAAAAGGAAGGGAAAGTTTTTGAACTGTTCCACCCATTCCTTGCCCACAAACTACCTCTAACCCTTCCCATTGGAGTTCCAGCCCCATCTTCTGCAACGTTTGATGGACTGTTGACTCCGTAGAAGCAGTGAAGAAAAACCCAACAACTGGCTGTAGAGAAGTCAAAGGTGCTCAGTGCTGCTCTTGAAAGACAGCCCTCACTTTCACCCCCCACAGAAAACCCCCAACAACACCTGGAGACCCAGCTATGGCTCATGACCCAGGAGTTAGTTATCCCTGATTTAGGAGATTTTGTGCTTATTTAAGTGTGCTTGCACAAATCTCCCGCTTTTGTACATGGTAAAGAAAAAGGGGGAGAAAACGTGTTACTTAGGAAGCCTTCTAGAGCGCCTGGGGGTTTTTCTTCACTTGTGCTTTTTCTGCTTTAGGGCAAAACAGGAAGCCATCTCTAGTGTGCTATTTCAAGCATCCTTGCTTTATGTAGCAACTGTGCACAGTTGCACTGAAGTGGCACATTTTGAATATGAAGAAACCTCCTTTGAGGAAGCATCTATAAAGAGGGAGGAGTTGTAAAGGAGTTCTGTGGAAATGTGTGGGCAGGGTTCAGCTAAAGAGTCCTGTCACCAGAAGCCCTAAGCAAAGACTTTCACTTGCACAGTAGGCCTGTCCTGCCCTCTCCTGCACACACACACACCCTGCCCCAAAATTGACTCAGGAGTTGGGTGGGAGTACCCCCGGGGACAGCATGTGGCAGGAGAAGAGGGGGAATTATTCTGTCCGACAAGCTGAACTGCTTGCCCAGACAGAATCAAAGCCTCATAATTCCTCCCAATGTCTTCTGCTCAACAGAAGTCTCAGTTATGGGCCCTAGCACAGCGAGAGTGATTTGATGGTTGTGTTCAGTTCTCTCTCCACAGTAACAGAAAAGATTGATATGTCTCCTGTTCTCTATGGGTTCTCTCTAGCTCTAGACAACAACCACCTTATTTGTTTATTTGAGGGATCAGGGTATGCAGTGTTGTAAAGACAGACCTCTCATTGCTCTGAGAGCTCTGGCTCCAGTTCTGCTATGTAGCCAAAGGAGTGATTGGGTGGTTTGGCTTCCTGGCTGAAAGAGATGGAGCAATTTTTGGGGTGTCTTTTTTTCCTCCCTCCTGTGCACAGTGCAGAAGATGTCTTGAGTGGGAATACAGTTTGCAAAGTGTTCCTGCTTCTCCCTAATCCCTCCAGAACCAGTACTGTACCGGAGAGTCTTTTGCATTCAGGCATCTCTGCTGCTCTGAGCATCACAATTAGTTGCTAGAGACAGTCCTACTATTGTTCCGCATTTGAATTCTTTTGAGGAAATAGAGACGCACGACTTTCAGACAGAAAGTCTTCTCTCTCTTTTTTGTCCCTGTCATTCAGTGGAACGGAATTCAGAAGAAAGAGGCAGGGATCAGTTACGGATTAAAGTAATTCCAAAAAAAGGGATGGAAATGGATCTTCCTGAGAGCATTTCTCACATTTAGGCCATTTAGTTATTATTAGTATTAAATTTGTTGGTTGCTTTATCTTGCCCAGGGCAGCCCAAAGCAATGTATAGCCAGTTATTATGTACTAGTTACAGGTAGGTAGCCGTGTTGGTTTGCCGTAGTCGAAACAAAATAAAATAAATATAAAAAAATATAAAAATTCCTTCCAGTAGCACCTTAGAGACCAACTATAAGTTAGTTATGGTATGAGCTTTCATGTGCATGGTTTCTGAAGAAGTGTGCATGCACGCGAAAGCTCATACCAATAACTAAATTGGTCTCTAAGGTGCTACTGGAATGAGTTTATTTTTTTTTATTTTTTTCAGTTATTATGTTTTATGATTAATGTATTCAATTTATATCCTGCCCTTCCTCCCAGAGTATCCCAGGGTTTTTCCAGTCTATGGTTTTGAAAACTATTCCTTTTAACCTCTTTCTCAGCCTCCTTTCACAGATAAGCAGGTTGAAAACATCCAAAACAACCAAATATTTCATATATCTTGGACTATATAGAGGCAGCTTGTCACTTATCTCCCTCCCTCCAGATAATCATTCCACAGCTGCACTGCTGTGGCTGCATTGGACTTAAATGTTGCTAGGTGTGTGTGTGGGAATTGTGGGGGGTGAATCTTGCTTTGGATTAAACTGTGACAGGGAGCAGGTAGGTGTAGCAGTAGCATGCCTGGAACAGGGATAGCCAACTCTCCGTTCGGGGGCTTCATCTGGCTTCCACAAGCAATTTTTTCCACCCTTTCCCAAGACTCTGCCAATGATTCAAACTCTAATAAGGTTCAAACAAATAAACAAAAAGCACTAGGGGAGAAAGGGAGATGACAGAACTTTCTCTAATGAGCAGTTAGCCAGGCATTCATTTTCTCATACAAATTAATAGGACATTCCTTTTGGCTTCCAAATTTATCATGAAGCTTTTCAGTGAAGTCACGCATTGGTTTGGGGTGTGTGTGTGGTTGTTTTTTTACAGCAATGACAGCTGTAACAAGTAGGGCTCTGCATGCTTCTCTATAAGGTCACACTAAAATCTTGTGATGCTGTGGTCTTGTGACAAGAGAAAGGATGTGGTTTTATTTGTACAAATGACATGAAATGAATTCCAGAGTCCTTTGCAAGTTCCTGACTTCTACCAGTTTCCCCACCCTCCACCCCGCCAAGACTGTGTTATTGGCCTTAAGCATATCCTTCAATGCATCCCATTTCTCTGTCAAAACAGTGTAGCACAAAGGGCAAGGTGTGCTGCTGCCTACGTTCAGGGTCAGGTGGTCCCCTGGAATGTGTGCTGTCAGCATCTTGCCTGCCTTATCACTTCCTTGGTGGTTGGCTTGCTGATTGTTTGAAGAGTGTGCCAGAGTGATTGCAATCGACCTTCCTCCTGAAGAAGACAGGAGTATTCAAAGTTCACTGTCATGTCTCTCGACTGGGAGTTCTTGACTTCCTTCTATGTGGTTTATCACCCTTTTGTAAATAACAGGCTTTCCATTCTGTGTCCTGTATGGCCATGTTAAATATTCTGCAGTGTGTCGTTTCTGCCACAGCATTGCTGGCAGAATTTGGATTCATTGTAAACGTAAAGGTAAAGGTACCCCTGCCCGTACGGGCCAGTCTTGACAGACTCTAGGGTTGTGCGCCCATCTCACTTAAGAGGCCGGGGGCCAGCGCTGTCCGGAGACACTTCCGAGTCATGTGGCCAGCGTGACAAGCTGCATCTGGCAAGCCAGCGCAGCACACGGAAACGCCGTTTACCTTCCCGCTGGTAAGCGGTCCCTATTTATCTACTTGCACCCGGGAGTGCTTTCGAACTGCTAGGTTGGCAGGCGCTGGGACCGAGCAACGGGAGCGCACCCCGCCGCGGGGATTCGAACCGCCGACCTTTCGATCGGCAAGCCCTAGGCGCTGAGGCTTTTACCCACAGTCCATCCTACTGAGATGATGATGATGATGGTAATTGATATTACCGTCCACACTGAGCAGAAGGGCAGTGAACTGTCACTGATCTCTTGGACCCGATCATACGAAAGCAGGTCCTAACTTTAAAGAAAAGGATCAATAGCGATGAAAGGTTTAGAAATCACTGCTGTGTCTGCGGCAATTAATTCTACTGTGGGCAGAGGCCAATGATGAATCTGTGCACTTTGTGCATTTTGTTATTGTTCTGACAAGTCCCCTTTAGGAATCCAAACTGCTGCCTTGTGCTTTGGGGATGTTGAAACAGCTCATTTGTCTCCTTACCGTTAAACAGGGAAACTGAAATGCAGCGAAAGGCTCCGCTAGAGACATTGATGGAGCTGTGTAGAAACACCACGCTATTTTAGAAGTATGAATGCTGACAGCAGCAGCGGCTGGGCTTGTGGGGAGAGCTGGGCTGCAATAAAAGTGTACATCAAAGGCTGTGCCCAGTTATTCAGATGGTCTCCTCTAGAAAATTGTGAAAGAGGAGTTGCAGACTGCATCCCTGTGTACTGCATCCCTCTCACCTGTGCTCTGGGTTTTTCATTATCTCTACCCTCCCTCCGGCTCCTACCTGGCTAATGAGACAACAGCTTTGATGTGACTGAATGATGCTTGTTCCAAAGTAATGTCCTCTTCTAGTCATTGTCCCGTCTGTGCGCCTGCATTTTAGTACTGTATTTCTTAAATTCCCCCCTGTCCCAATAAATAAACTCAAGTGTACAATTGCAGGAAGAGGAAAGGGTGTTGTGTGTGTTCAGGAAATACCTGAAGATTAGTATCAAGATTGCGAAGACAACAAAGCTGGTCTATGTGTGTTCATCCAGACTTTAACAAGGGTTCAAACCCCGATTTAGCTTTGACCTCACTGGATTTTGTGGTTGAGACCTGGCAGTGCTGCTGTGTGTCTCGTAATCCAGGGCACACTATGAATTTGCTGTCTTGTTATCTATCTTCCAGGCTTAAACACAGGCTGCTTCTATGCGCTCTCAACCCTACTCACCCGCATGGTGATCAGCCACTATAAGGTAAGTGACGTTCTGTTCAGCTGTCATGGCACTGGCTTGTCCCTCAGGACACTGGCTCTTGCTGCATAATAGATGCCTGCGATCCTCCCTTCTGGGGGAGCCTTAGAACGAAGAACGAAGGCGAGAGCTGAAAATCATTTCTGAGCCTCTTAATTCCATGTATGTGAGCGCTCAGTCGTTTTCTGATGCTCAAGGGGAAAAGGAAGAGAGGTATTCGAAAAATCAAGGCAGATTTCATGCATGCATATTCCAAGCAGAATGTCATTTTAAGCCTTGTGCGTGGGAAAACACTCCTGATTTTGTGTACATGTGTGGATCAGGAATATAATACCACCTCCCAACAGTGTCTTCAAAGCCTAGTAGTGCTGATAATGCCTCCAGATTCTCCCTAGTCCATGCCCACTTTTGCCGCCGGCTCTTTAATAATTGGCATGCTGCCTTTGGGAAATTGTGCATGTGAGTATGTGGTCCTCAGGCTGGAGCAGGTTCTCATTCCATTGCCTGAAGGAAGATTCTCACCTAGTGAGCCTCACTGCTGGAGTGGAGCCCTGAGCAGGGTCTCTCTGGTCCTAGCCTAACCCCTGGGTCCTGGGTACCACATCGGTTTTCAGTGCTCTTGGTTCCACCCCGAGGTCTCCTGTTGTCCCTCCAGCTGTTTGCGTGCTTGAAAGCAAACTGCTCTGTGCGTTTGTGTGTTGCTGATGCAGGATGAGCAGCTGAACGCTGGTCGAATTGGCCTCACCATTGTAGTGGCTGGCATGGTTGGAGCTTTGATCACTGGCCTCTGGTTGGACAGAACCAAAACATACAAGTAAGTCCTTTATACCACCCCTATTCAGCCGGTAAGTATAGGGGAAAACTCTGCAGGAGCTGCTTCCTGCTTTGGAAGAGCTTTGGAGCTATTTGGCTGAAATCCTTGGCACATGCGCCTGTGACGTCTACTATTTGCAGTGTGAGGCTGTGCTTGTCCTAGCTAAATGAACTGTGCATCGGAGAGACTAACAGAAAGTATAGCATTTTGTTTATTTTTTAAAAGGTTGGTAGGAGGAAGAGGCGGGGATCACAGTTTGGGGTAAAGGCTTGCCAAGAGGTCCTAGAGCATTTTTATATATTGTAGAAGTAAAGGTAAAGGGACCCCTGACCATTAGGTCCAGTCGTGGCCGACTCTGGGGTTGCGGCGCTCATCTCGCTTTATTGGCCGAGGGAGCTGGCGTACAGCTTCTGGGTCATGTGGCCAGCAGGACTAAGCCGCTTCTGGCGAACCAGAGCAGCGCACAGAAACGCCGTTTACCTTCCTGCCAGAGCGGTACCTATTTATCTACTTGCACTTTGACGTGCTTTCGAACTGCTAGGTTGGCAGAAGCAGGGACTGAGCAACGGGAGCTCACCCCGTCACAGGGATTCGAACTGCTGACCTTCTGATCGGCAAGTCCTAGGCTCTGTGATTTAACCCACAGCACCACCCGCGTCCCTCATATTGTAGAAAGGCTGGCTTAAATGTGTAGCATCCCTAAGATATTGCATTGATGTACTTCCTAAGATACGTGTGCAACTTTTTGAATGTGTTTCTAGGGAAAGAGAGGTGGGTAGCTAGAGTAAAGGGGAATTGAGATGCACCACAATATTCCTCTTAGGTCCAGACTAGACGTTCTCTTGGCAGATGTGTGCTGACACAATGAACGATTGCTGGGCAGGAGGTAGGGATGCTGAATTCACCCCCGGCCACTGATTCTCCCCTGCAAATGTATTTAGTTATATAAAAATGTGTTCCCTGCTTTTCTGGTGCTTTCACACCACTCAAGGCAGCTCACAGCAATTAAAGCCAACTATGAAAAACAACCTCATGACCACGAATATAATAAAAACTGAAGCAATACAAGTTTTTATCTGATAAAACAAATGCCTTACCTCAGCAGGAAGATTTTCTGTGATAAGGCAATGAAAGTGAGTGAGAGTGCCCACAAAGTATTGTGAGGAAAACCAAGAGCAAAGACAGATCTCAAAGCACTCTTCAGGATGCAGGAGAGGTTAATAATGGACTGGAATTGAAAAGTTGAGTGGTGAAGAGCTAGGAAGTGGGAATTTTGCAGAAGGCTGCAGGTTGTCTGGGTGTCTTCGGTTTTGCAAAGCTAGAAATATTGAAAATTTGGAACCTAGGTACCAACCGTAAGGAGTGGCAGACGAAGGTGGTTGAATATGCGGAATTAGCAAAACTGACTCACAGGATCCGCAATCAGGAGGAAACAAAGTTCCAAAAAGAATGGAGTAAATTCATGGGCTATATAAGTGAGAACTGTAGAAATTTCAAGATGTTAACAAGGCTGAAATAAATCTTATGTCATGATCTAGATATCACTAAGGAACTGTGGATCAGAGATTGGAATAAGAAAACCTGCGGAAGGGAGGGAGGGACGTCAATGCACTGTAGAGTGTAAAGATAGATGGTTGTTAAAGGATATGAAATATTAGTGTATTTTGTTTGTGTATATAAAATGAAAACTTAATAAAAAGCATATTTTTTAAAAAAGAAAGTTTGGGACCTAGGGACAAAAACTTTTAATTTTCTGCCACTGTGGTGTGTTCAAACAGTCCTTAAATATCTGGGTTTCATAAATATGCTTAAGTGTTTGTAAAGGTATTTTTTTTTTTAAATTACCCAATGTGCGGCACAGAGGTTGTTACTGTCCCTCTAGCTGCACATACTATAATTCAGTGACCCTGTATAAGGATACTTCCTATATCCTCACAAGTGTTGTGACACTGGTGGTGTGACTCAATCCAGGCCTGCTCCAGGCGTGTGGCCTTGCTGATTTATACTTCCCAGAAGGCAGCTGTGCCACTGCATGGAAATCTCCGTCAAAGGGCTTTCTGTCTTAAACAGCAGCCCCTAACGGCTAGTTTTTAGCACAGCTTAACATCATGCTTTCTATAGAGGCTCTATACATAGTTAAGCTGGGATGACAGAAGGAACAAATGAAGAAGATAAGTGAGTGGAGGAGGAAGGAGGCATTATTATCTTGGCAAATAATAGACTTTCAGGGGAAGGATAAACCCTTCTCCCCTGCAGATATCCCATGGCCCCCATTTTAGTGCAATGAGGTGAACACTTGGGTTATGCTTCCCTCAGTATCAATCAATCAGTCAGTCCATCAATTTATTGTATATAGCCAAAGGCCTTCACAATGAACAACAAATGGATTCCTCTAAAATTGCACAACATAACCAGCAACATCTACAGCATAAAAGTCAGCATGAAAATCAACAGCATAAAGTATGATGCATTAACATGACTGGACTGGAGCTTCTTAGCTGCCAAAGCAAATATGGCTCCCAGATGTGTCATTTGTAGATATTTATCGGCTAAGGGTTCAACTATCACTTCCTGGGGGATGGATGAGTAAAATGAATTCTTTTGGGTGAATTTAGCTGCTAGGGAGTGATGTGTTTCTGCTCATCTGATTTAACAAGGATCCTGCAAAGCCTCTTGCCATTTTTACCTCTTATGGATAAGAATTAATCCATGCACACACAAGCACAAATGCTGTAAATCCCCTAAAGTACAGGAAGAGGTTTTTAAAATTATTATTATCATTTGAGAAGGAAGCTTTTGAGAAGTTGCATGACCAATTAGATCATGCTGGTAAGGGCTTCTGTGACACGCTCTTTGGGCTGAAACCAAATAGCGGGGCGTTATTTTTTCCTTTTCTCTTAGCTTGACAGGGGCGACGTAAGGCAGCTGTTGCTGATCTGCCCTTTATATAACTGGGAAAGGTACCCATCCTTCCTTCCAAGCCATTCTCTGGAATGCAGGGTCCTTACAGAGAGTGCTTTTTCAGAGTGAAGCAAGGTGGATACAATTTTACTGTATCCTGGATATCCCTGATATAACAGCTTGGCAGCTTCTTGTCGTTCTGTGCATGTTTGCTCTGAAAATAGCAGGCTGCCCTCCCATTAAGCCTTAAGGATAGATCTCTGACCCAACGCAGAACTGTAATCACTAAACTTATATATACCTCCTACCACTGTAAACAGCAACTCTGTACTTTAGCAGCCCTGCTGAGTTATTGCTCTTCTGCAGTTGACTAGAAGTAGAATGCAAATCATGACTGCCCTTAATCTCACTCCCTTTAATAGCAAACTCAACTGCAGAGTGCTAACTAGGTTTGGATCACTCAATCTCAGCTTCTCTTGTCCTCTTCCCATATTAAAAGGCATCCCTCCCTGTTCCCTAGCAGATTTTTTAAAGGCGAAATCCAGGGAGATCCTAAAAATCTCTGTGTAAAATGTCTCTCACCATCCCTGCTCCACCCAAGGAATACTTAGCAAGCATACTGAAGCCCTGCTCTCACTCCTGTTCTTACTCTAATACTGTAAAGTAGCTTGGATAAGCTTCAAAGCTCTGCCATTCCAGATAAATATGCTTCAAAAATGATGCAGGAAGTGGTTGTATGTTGTTTCCTGTGTAGTAGCATGTACAAAAGGCCATGGTACAGACAATAAGATGGCTGTACAATTGCACGGTGTCCATCATCATGAACAAGATATTTACCCAGAAGGAAGTTCCATTGAGTTCAGTGGACTTACTTCTAAGGAAGTTTATTTAGGACTAGAGGTTTCAGTTAGTAAAGGTCCCCCAGGTCTTGCTAGTTCAAAAAATGACCAATTAAATGGCCAGTAGTTGGGAAAAGCAGGGAGACCTTTCTTGGTTGATTGAAGGCTTCAATCCTGACAGGTTACGTGGGCGAGTGTCCCAAAGCAAGAGGCCATTACTAACCCCCCTTCTCTCTGGCAAATGTATAGCCAGCAGCCCGGGGCTGTGCTGCCCACCTCTGTCCAACTGAGATGTTGTCACATACAATGAGGGAGAGGGTGAGGAGCGTGAATCAGACTTCCCAAATGCACCACCAGGAATACTAGATTGGCTCTGCCAGTGCACTTGCACCATGCCAACCTTGCTGCCACTGTGCTCCTCCCCATCCCAGGATAATGCAGTAACACACCAGCCAAAGGTCAGGGGAGAGGTACAGCCCCGCCATGCTGTTTGCTGCTGGGAACAGAAAGCTTGTTACCTTTTTAAGGTAAAGGTAAAGGGACCCCTGACCATTAGGTCCAGTCGTGACCGACTCTGGGGTTGCGGTGCTCATCTCGCTTTATTGGCTGAGGGAGCCAGCGTACAGCTTCCGGGTCATGTGGCCAGCAGGACTAAGCCGCTTCTGGCGAACCAGAGCAGCGCACGGAAACGCCGTTTACCTTCCCGTCAGAGCGGTACTTATTTATCTACTTGCACTTTGACGTGCTTTCGAACTGCTAAGTTGACAGGAGCAGGGACCGAACAACGGGAGCTCACCCCGTCGTGGGGATTCGAACTGCCGACCTTCCGATCGGCAAGTCCTAGGCTCTGTGGTTTAACCCACAGCGCCACCCCCGTCCTTTTTATTCAACCACAGTATCTCACAATACCACATGTGAGCGTTTGTCTGGACTTTGCCAAGCTGTAGGTCAGAAGCTGGTGACCTTAGGGACCTCAGCCAGTTCATGTTGAGAGCAGCTACAGAAGCCTCTTCCAAGCCGTAGAGGATGCTCCTTGACCTTTAGAAAATCTTCCAGGTCAGGCTTTCTCACTGGCCCCTGAGCAATGGGAAGTATTGCTATTTTACACAAGAGGTAGAGCAGGACTTGACAACTTTTGCATTACAGATGTAAGAAATGAGGGGTAGGACATATTGGCGGGGCCCTACGTCTGGCAGAGGAGGAGGACAAGGAAGGCAAGAGGAGTGATGGCAGCGGCAGCAGTGCTCCTCCTATGATAACCAGGCAGCCACCATTTTGTTGTCCCTACAGTGACATAACACTGCAGTGGGGGTTTTCGGGGAATTCAGGAAGCTGATGCAGGCTCATGCATGAGGCTCTTTTCCCTGTCTCTCTGACTGAGGTAGATAGCTTAACAATGCGGTAAGATGCAGTGCAAAGTTCAGGTGACTGTTGCAGGACCCACATTCTACCTCTGCTCTTGCATAAACATAGCTGCCATCTCCTTCAGAGCGGCTGTAGATTAATTTCCTAGGCAAATGCAGCAGGGAGTGATTTTCATGTGCTTTTTATATCCGCAAGTTGTCCTTTGATTTTCCTGCATTCCTGACTGCGCTCTCTACTTTAATCCCTGCATACTAGTGAAAGCTTCTCAAGAAATAAGCCGAGTGTCAGCTTCACTAACTGGCCATGTTAATTTCTCCAGTTTCCTATACCTATTGGTTCTTACCAGCATCTGTCTAGGATACCCTGTGTTTAATTTAATTACAGAAATTTAAAAGTGACATTCTAGATATACCCACAGTCTCTTTCTAGGGCCAGCTCAATACATTTTGCTGCCTGTGGTGAAAGAGAGGATGGCATATCTCCTCCATTCCATGTACAGACATAAAATGCTCCATTGCTTGAATTTTACTTCAGCCCTAGTGATGAGACACCCTCCTCCACTTAAACTGAGGGCAGCAAGGTAGCCTAGGAGGTGTGAGGCAGGTTGTGCACACCACATAGATCTGTGTTCCAACAACTTGGTGCTATTACCTGACACCTGAGGTGGCCACTTCACTCTGCCTAATTAGGTGGGACTGGCCTGCCGCTTTCTATAGCTAAGAACTTAAGAACAGCCTGCTGGATCAGGCTATTTGCCCATTGAGTCCCATAGTTTAACTACACGCTGCGTGAATTAAGTACAGTAGTACCTTGGTTGTTGAAGGGAATCAGTTCGACTTCCAAAGCGTTCGACTTCCAAATCATAGCTTCTGATTGGCTGCAGCAAGCTCCTGCAGCCAATTGGGAGCTGCGGAAGCCCCATTGGATGTTCGGCTTCCAAAAGAATGTTCAAAAACCAGAACAGTCACTTCTGGGTTTTGATTGTTCGGGAGCCAAAATGTCGAAGTTCCAGGGTGTTCGACAACCAAGGTATGACTGTACTTTATTTTAGCCATCCTGAATCTTTCAACACTAAGCTTCCTTGGATGTCCACGAGTTCTAGGTCTGATTGCATGACCTCCTTTGGTCTCTTGCTGTTAGGAGACATTTGCCGGCCTGGCTGCAGGTTGAGGAGCCTTCAACTTTCTTGCATGCAAAGATGAATATTGTCAGGCTGTTGGATTAATTTGATTTTTTATTGGGTCCCCCCCCCCAATAGAACTTAATTTTAGTTAAAATGTAATGAAATCCGAATTTAAAAACATTGAATACAGTGTAAGAGCAGTAGCTTAATTCTGATTGTGTTTTGTTTGTTACAGGCAGACAACTCTGTTGGTTTACATCATGTCATTTGTAGGCATGGTGGTTTTCACGTTTACTCTGGACCTAGGCCATATCTGGGTGGTCTTTGTGACAGCTGGTGTGCTGGGGTAAGTTTGCTTCTCCTCTCACACCCAGGGTGAATTTTCTCTTCTTCGAAGGAGTTTCCCTCTCAAGGCATTTGGCAGCTGCCTCTGACATGGAGATGAAGATGCCTCTTCTTTCTCTCTCCAGTGGAGTGAAGAGTAAGAAAGTACCACAAACAATGGAAAGTGAGAACTCTGGGATATGCATAGCAGCCAACATATCCTTTCATGTCTCTGCTGACCATGAACATCTTGCATTGCAGAGCATGGTGGAATGAAATGCTATGGGCAACAGCTGCTGGTGGGGTGGGGTGCTGTGCTGTTGTTGACCTGGCTTCCCAATGTGGAGGTTGCTGACAGTAAAGAGGCAAGGCATCTGGGAGGTTGGTGCAGTACAGGTGCTGCCGCACAGCCAATCAGACACTTCTGCTGCTGTGTCTGCACTGCACTGACTTCCCTGCAGCCTCACTCCCTCCCCTCTTGGTTACCAGCAGTAACTAACAGGAAGCAAGGTAAGCTATGCCATCCTGCTCTGCACCACCAGCTGCTCCTGGCCACGGGGAAGCAAACAGGGTTACGCCTTTGAGACTGAAGTGGGGTTTGGAGAAGCACCCTCACTTTGAAACTGCATGGCCCAAACGTTGCAGCTGCTGATGCTTTCCTCCCCACCAATCTTTCCTGGCAGTTTCTTCATGACTGGGTACCTACCACTGGGCTTTGAATTTGCGGCAGAACTGACATACCCAGAATCGGAAGGGACATCATCGGGCCTCCTTAATGTAGCTGCACAGGTGAGTGCGTGCTCCGAAAATATAGCAGGTAAACAGACTCACTTCTTAGCTTGGCATTGCTGTTGCACAGGAATTCTGTTGATGAATCCAGCTCTTCAAGGTGGTATCATAGAATTGTAGAGTTGGAACTCTGAGTTGGGACACTTTCCAATGCAGGAATCTCAATACATGATCTCCCATCCAGTTTGAAACCATACTGGACCCTGCTTAGCTTTGCCAGTGTGCTAGGCGTAGCGGTGTGGCCAGACTATGCTGCAGTACCTTTCTTCAGTTTCTTCTTTGTAACTCTTTTTTGATCTGGTTTCAGATATTTGGAATAATTTTCACCATTAGCCAAGCACAGATCTTTGAACATTTTGGAACTCAAGCAGGAAACCTCTTCCTCTGCAGCTTCCTGTTTGTCGGCACTGTTATAACTGGTAACTACACACTGTCCAATCATTGTCAAACCTTTTTCAGTTCCTGCTTCCTACAACTCCTGTATTGCTACCCCAGCTTAATGTACTGAAGTTTAGGGGAGGGCTGCAATGTTGAATCACTTGATTGGTTATTTTTAACCTAGGGATGGCAAATCTGTCAAATTTGGTTCTTCCAGTTATTTTCTCTTTCAGTCTTAAACTCAGTTCTCCACACTTCTGCAGCATTTCGTTATTATTATTATTTTTTAATCCTCATGATAATTCATAAGCGTCTTAAAAAATAGAGGATGGTTTCTTAGCCAAAAGGCTGAGATGCCTTTGAGTGAGAATTTCTCCTAAGAAACACATTTTTTTGTATGCAGTTTTGACTCACGTACACAATTTTGCAAGTAAAATAGCTGTGTTTCAGTTTGCATGTACGTTCAGGAAGTGAGCATTAGGTACCTTTCTCATTAAAATGCAAAGAAAATCCTCTTTCTCCAATAGCTCTATGTATGCCAACCCAGTTGTTTTGTGTCCTTCCATGCTGCTGTTTTAATCATTGAATTAATATCCTGTTGTGTTTTTATTGTGTTATTGTGCTTTTAATTTGGAAGCTGCCTTGGGGACCTGTTTGGGTGGCTAAGAAGTGGAGTAGATTTAAGAAGTGGAATAGATTCTAAGATTCTAAGAAGTGGAATAGATTCTAAGATTTAAAAATAATTTATTTTCCACCATGGAGAGGACAGACCCTGTTCCCTACTTCAGTTGTGCTTTCTGAGTCGTAAGCCATGTTCTTCACGTTGCCCTGCCTTGAGCTCCATTGCTCTGTGAAGAGCTGCTTGTGGTCAACACACAGTGACTTCCTGACTCTGTTTTTTCTTCTCCAATGCCCCAGCTTTCATCAAGGCAGATCTCCGGAGACAGCAGGCCAACCTGCGCGATGAAGAGACTGTGAGTAAATCATCTATTTATGCTGGTAGCTTATGGCCAACCGTCCGCACCTGTGAGTCCCCTTTGCTATTATCGTGATGAATAACTGTGCCAGCTTGAGGGAGTATTGTTGCTGCCTCAGCTGTGCCAGGTTTGGGTTGTTAATGGTTGAATGCTGTTGGATTCTCCTCCAGGAGAAAGTGTGGCATGTGCCTGGGACCAGCTGCGAGTACTGAGAGAGACATGCTGGCAATCTCTCTGTTTGAGGTCATACATCTGGTGCACTAGCAAGACCAGTGTTAGGCTCTTTGTAAACTTTAGTAAATGCAAATACAGCTGCTTAAAGAAAGGTGAAAGATCATGGGTAATATCCAGGGGTGGTGTCCTACTCGCACAATGGACTTCACTTGTGCACACTGAAACTACTCTCCTACCTGCCCACTATGTGCCCCAAAATGTGCCATGGAGGGTTCCCCAAACCCAATGAGTGTTGGCAGACCCTCCAGAGCAGATTGGGAGGGATGATGGAGGCTCCAGCAGGGAGCTGCTCTGGCTGATCTTAGATTCATTTAGGACTAGGGAACCTGTAACCTTCCAGATGTTGCTGGACTGCAACTCCCAGCATCCCTGATAATTGTTTCTGAGAACATAGTAAGAGCCCTTTGGGGACTAGATGGGCTTATGCAATCCATGGGACAGTCTGCAACAAGATAGAGGGTGGGTGTGATGGTGCTCACAGTGTAAGGGTGTCACTGGGCACACTGTCCGATGGGTGGGCCTGTGCTCTAGACAGAGGCGTGGCAGGCAAGAATTCAGCAACTGAACCTTTTCCTGGGATACAGGATAGGAAAGACTTGCCTGTTATGCAGTTGTTAAAAGGGACAGAATCTCTACCAGGGGAAAAAAAGGCAATTCTAACTCTGAATCAGGTCATGCTGAATTGGATAAATGAAGGATTCTCTTCTGCAATATATAATGAAGATTCTGGTCTTGGATTCTGAATTGTGGAGTTACAAATAGGACTAAGCCAAAAGAGAGTTTCCTTTAATTCACATTGTTATCCTGATTTTTGTTTTTCTTTGGAGGGTCTCTCAAAAATGTGTCATCGCTGTCTTACCAGGAGAAGGAGTGACTGCAACAGTAGTGGGGGGAAATTTACTTTCCAAATATTGCTGAATTACAGCTCCCATCAGCCCAAGTAAACATGTCCAATGACCAGTGATGATGGGAATGGTAGTTCAGCAACATCTGGAGGGCCAAAGGTTCCCCACCCCTGTGCTATAGCATGCGTTGCTTGGCAGCAGCCCAGGCAGCAATGGTATCAGTGTTCCTCTCTCTGTGGCACCCGCTCAGCCTATTGATGTGTTCCTTTGCCCAGGGTAATGTGGAAAGGTAATGTGATGTGGAAAGCATTGTTTTCACTTTGAATTCATTTATTCTTTCATTTATTCTTTCTTTCCAAAGGGAGCCCAGGGTGGCTAACAATAATAAAATGACCTACAAACAATGTAAAACACTAACACATATTTCAGAATTTGCTTTGTTTACTTTCGAGTGATGTTCTGATAGTACCAAATTTGATTAATGACACCGCATTGTAGCACCATCATGTTTGCTGCATGATCCCTGATTGCTAGGGATAACGTTGTAAAAGAGGAGGAAAAACATGGTGCTGAAGGAACGACAGAGAGGTGGAGCACAGTGGTTCTGAGAAGAATCACAAGCATAAGTGAGAAATGCACAATTGGTTTCATTTTATTTTAAGGGGGGACACATTGCTCCACATGAATATATAACTTTCAGACCCCAAAATGCTAATGCGAACATTTGGAGCCTCCTTAGTTAAAGTGAAACAACTTGGCAGAAAAGAAGTAAGCTAAAATAAATGAATTTATTTAACATTGAGACTACATAATTCTTCAGGGATTAGCTTAATCAGAGCTCCTGCTGCCTTGGAATGAGTACAGGGCTTATAAAGCTGAACATTCTGTGGAATTTTTAGTGATCAAAAGTCTCACTCGCTTTCAGTTCTGCGGAGTTTCACCAGCTTATTCCATCACGATTCCCTGTCTGTCTGTCTGTCTGTCTGTGCCTCCTGTTTTTGTTTTTAATTCTGCCCCTCTTTGAGATTGTGACATATGGCTGTTGTTACAGAGACTCCAGGGCAGTAACTGTCAGATAATGAATTATGGACATTGTACCTTAATCCCATCATTTCCCATCCCTGATCAGTAATTCTCAGACTAAGGTAGGAGAATCATACTAACCTGCTTATACAACTCTTTCTGTGAGATGGCACTGGCACCAAACCAATGGCATGTTGCAGGGCCAAGATGTGTAGAGAAAGGGCTTGGTGTGGGGAAAAGCACACTCACTGGATCCAGCATGCTGGATTCGGCTTATGACGCAAATTTGATAACCCACCAACCGATTGTCAAAGGGAATGTTAAGTCCTCCAGTTAGAACAGCCACTGGATTGGTGCCCTTTTTTGTGTAAAATAACTATTGCAATTCTCAAAGCACTTTGCTTTGCAGCGTTAATTCTACGCTTTTTCCTGAAGAGACCTTCATGTTGCCGCTAAGTACATGCTTGAATATGCTTCATCTGACTATCTATCTTTCCTTAAACCTTACCTTCCCCTTGTTGAAAATGTGTGCTCACATATTTATTGCTCACCATTCTCAAGTTTGTTGGTGAAGAGGCAATCACTGGATGCAGTAATTAATTTCTTAATGCTGGGCTGAATTCTGAAGCAGTCAAGAACGGGTAAAAACATGGTGGTGAGGGGGCTGGCTGCAAGAAAGTGCTAGGTTTACAATTATATAAGAATTCTATCCATGGCATTTGAGGGGGTTATATATATGTCCAAGCTCACTGTAGAGTAGCGAGCAATCAATATGTGAACATTGATGCATCTTTCAAGGTGCCATTCATGTGCAAAGGACATCCTGAGATGAAAACATGCTGCACTACCACGACTTTCAGCGTTGCTGCTTGCAAAATGTAACATGTTTACATACCGGCTGCCTTAAGCCATTATTGTACCTGATCCATTACTTGCAGGACGGAATGATGTTTTGATTGTTTCAAAGACTCTGAAATCCTTCAGGTGTATTGCTGACTCAATACACAGGCACCATACATGACATTAGTAATGGTAAATCAGGACCAAACAAGATGCAAGATCGGAAATGTATGAATGCATTTCTGCTTATAGTTCCCCATCTCCCAATTGGTATCCAGCATTTGGGGCTTTTCCCAGGCCACATCACCTCATTGGCTACACCCCTCCCTGGACCTATTCTGCACCACCTCCAGTTCTTCTGCTTGGCTGGCATACCTTCAGCTGTAACAAGGCTTCTTGCTTACCTGGAGGCAGCGGCATAGCATGGGTTGTCAGCACCCGGGGCAAGGCAAGTAATTTGCGCCCCCTAACCCGGGGCAAGGCAAGTAATTTGCGCCCCAAAACCCCTAACCTGCCGCCGCTGCCAGCTTCTTCTTGCTGCTGCCTGGGCTGGGGTATTTACGGTAAGGTAGCCACGGCGGCGGCGGGGGGTCCGTGTCAGGTGATCTGAGGCGAGTTGCCGTGGGCGCTGCCGCCCAAACGACGCCGCTTGCCCGGAGGAGGAGGAGGGCAGAGAGGCGAGGAAAATGCAACATGGCCCAGCAGCTGCAGCAGCAGCGGCGGGGCTGTGAGGAGGGGCTGCCCTCCGTGGCCCTGACGCGCGGGGACCGCGGCGAGCGCTGAGAGCCGCTGCCAGCTCGTCGGTTCCGCGAGACATGGGGCTCTGCTACAGCCTGCGCCGGAGGCTCTTCGGCGACTCCGGAGGCGGCGAGCGCACCCCCCCCAGATGTTGTGCCCGGTGCGGCCGGCACCCCCTGCACCCCCCACGCTACACCACTGCCTGGAGGGAGGAGTTGTATGTACAGAAACCTCTTAACATTTGCGTGGCTGGAGTGTGGCCTACTATAGGAAGATAAGAGTTGCCTTGCCAACCTCTTTCATGTGCCCCCTGGAAGGTTGTCGAAGAGAGCAGAGCCGGCCCAGCAATGAGGCAGGGTGAAGCGTCTCAGGTGGTGGTGGAAGCGCAAAAGGATAGCTTTCTGTTTCACAGGCCATCTTCCACCATGTCCCAGGTTACTATCAACAATAAGTACAGCCCTCCTGTTGGCCTTCTTCCTTGGAGTGCCTGGCTTCTGTGCTGTTAGCTTTGGCACACTTAAGTCTCCTGGGGCCTTCCTGTGGAGAAACGTGGCGAAGTATACCTAGAATGCCTCTATGCCCTCTATGAGTCTAGTCAATGGTACTCATGAAGAGCCTGAAGATGGTGTAGGAGTAAGAGCTAAGGCCTTCTTTGTATGGCAGGCCCGCACTTAAAGGCCTAGTTATCCCAGGATGTTCTCTGGAGTTCTCTCTGAGGCTTTTTATATCCTCCAGGTTTCCCCAACCTTCATTCAGGCTGAGGCCCTGCAGCTGGACTCCTTCCCTCCCACCAGGCAGATGAATGACAGGGCCCTCCCTGCTGCTTCTAGCACAGATGGAGCCTTTAGGCAATATTTCCTCAGTACCAAATGGCTTTAAATCCATACCAAGTAATCATTGGGACAATTGCAATATGAGCAGCGGCGTAGCGTGGGTTGTCAGCACCCGGGGCAAGGCAAGTAATTTGCGCCCCCTAACCCGGGGCAAGGCAAGTAATTTGCGCCCCCTAACCCCTAACCTGCCGCCGCTGCCAGCTTCTTCTTGCTGCTGCCTGGGCTGGGGTGTTTACGGTAGGGTAGCCACGGCGGCGGCGGCGGGTCCGTGTCAGGTGATCTGAGGCGAGTTGCCGCTGGCACTGCCGCCCAAATGACGCCGCTTGCCCGGAGGAGGAGGGCAGAGAGGCGAGGAAAATGCAACATGGCCCAGCAGCTGCAGCAGCAGCGGCGGCGGGGCTGTGAGGAGGGGCTGCCTGGCGCGCCCTCCGCGGCCCTGATGCGCGGGGACCGCGGCGAGCGCTGAGAGCCGCTGCCAGCTCGTCGGTTCCGCGAGACATGGGGCTCTGCTACAGCCTGCGCCCGAGGCTCTTCGGCGACTCCGGAGGCGGCGAGCGCGCCCCCCCAGATGTTGCGCCCGGTGCGGCCGGCCCCCCCTGCACCCCCCACGCTACGCCACTGACTATGAGCCAAGCTTTTGAGATGCATTAGAAATATACCAGTGTGTTAGCATTTTGAGGCTTGGGCCTGGGCATTAACACCTAGGAGCAAGTTCCTAGCTGGTGGCTATTTATCTACTGCCATTTTGTGCAGTATATTCTGGCACAGCTGACCAGTTCCACCAGCATGTGATAAAGGAATGCAAAGATCTGTAGGCCCTGACTTGTGAGGCAGATGGGGATTTTTGTTTTACTTCTGCTCAGCTAAGCATGGTCTGTTCTAATCTTTGCAACAGACTGTGCACAATTGTTTAGTATCTTTTTTGGGGGATGGGGAGAAGAGGGCAGGTTGGGGAACTCTGATATAGATCACCAGATTAGGGTTGCCATATTCTGGCGATCAATACCCGCCCCCACTATTTGGGCACCCTGCCACCCCACATCTCCCTCGCCTCCCTGCTGCTAACCTCTTTACTGTTTATACACATCTTACTGGGCTGCCCCAGCCACTCTGGGCAGCTTCCAACATATATAAAAACATAAGAAACATTTTACAAACCCACTTCCCTATATAGGATTGCCTTCAGATGGCTCAGGGGTTGGATAACGCTATACTATCTAATATTTATCCAATGAAAATAGGGACATCCTAAGGAAAAATGGGACATTTCGGGATCAAATCAGAAACCAGGACGGCTTCTCTAAATCAGGGACGTCCCTGGGAAATAGGGACACTTGGAGGGTCTGTGAACCTTATTGTACCTCAATTCTAACAGCGTTCACTGGCTTGCTATTGGAAACTTGTACGACTGAGCCATAATTATTGTTTGGTGAAAATAGAGAGGCAGCCTTGCATACATAACCATTCTCTCCACGAAAGGATCAGTAACCTTCAGCGAATGGCTGGTCTAGTTGTCATTTATTTGCCTCTCCAGGCAACTGCAAATATTCACCTGTCCCAAAAGAATGTAAAGGCTTGTGGCGTTTTGAAAGACTCCACTCTTTGTGGATAGGTTTATCCCACACAGAGACACTGCTGTCTCCTACGTGGCATCAATTTCCTGAAGATTAACTATGGAAGGCAAGTTGATCACAGGTAGCAAGCACGTTTGACTTTGCTCTCTGCCAAGTCCTGATGAATGATCTACCTCCACCATTCTCTGTTCTGTGGGATCTGGGTCAACAGTACTCTTAGAGCACAACAGACTCATTCCCCCGGGAAATCTTGGAATTTCACTCTTTGGCGAAGGCAGTGGGGAGAATCTAACAGGGGTAGCCAGTGTGGTGCCTTCCAAATGCTTTTTGGATTCCAACTCCTATCACTGCTAGCCAGTGACAGTGGTGGCTGGCACAACATCTGGAGGACATCACATTGCCTTACCATGCTCCTCTAACAAAGAATTGCCACAATTCCAAGGATTCTTTGGGCCATGACAGTTAAATAGTTTCCATATATTTCTACCCACTTTGTATGTGCATATGCCCTTACTGTTATGAATGGATAACTTCATTAGGCACCAGCAAGCTCCCTTGTGGAGAGGTGCCAGACCCCTTTTAATGTGTAGAATTGATGAGGCAGATGGCGTGCGTGGTCAGGAGACAGAAACAAGGCAAGAGTTTGTAGCTTGTAATTGGCTAAATTTCCTGCACCACTTCCTTCTCTGCAGATCCCTCCAGGATTTTAAAATACTTGTTACATGAATAAGAAGTATTAGCTCCTGCAGCGTGGATATAGATACGACTCGAAGGGCATTCCTGGTGCAATTGTATCATTGCAGCCTTCACAAACCTGATGCCCTCCAGCTGTTCTAGACTACAATTCCCATCAGCCCCTGCCTTCTCAGATGGGGAACATTGTACCTGGGATTGTGCTGTTTTGATTAAGGCAATGACTTGACTTAGAAATAGCATCACAACATGGCAGTGCTGAAGGGCAATTCTGGGGATTTATACTCCCATCACTCTGGAAAGCAGAGCTCTCCTAAATACTATTCTTCCCTATGAAATTCACTTTTCATAGCTAAGGGTGAATTCTTTCTTCTTAACTTTGCTTTGTTACCTTTTTTGAGCAGCAGTAAGGATTAGGCACTATTGGTAAGAGAAAATGGAACGTACTTGTCCTTCTTTGGGATCTCGCCTCTCCTCTCGAGATATTTGGACCCAAAGCAAGAGCAGCAATGCTTCTCAGGAGCATATATTTATAGAATCATGGAATTGTAGAGTTGGAAGGGACCCTGAGGATCATCTAGCAATGCAGGAATCGAACCTGCAACCTTGGTGTGGTAGTGGGTTCCTGCTGTCTGATGCCTTTGAGCACCCCCTAACTGTGCCCCTTCTCTCTCTCTCTGACTTTCAGAAGACATTGGGGAAAGTGCCTCAAACCAGCACTGTGCCGCTGTATGAGGAATCAAAATTCTAATGGTGGGAGATTGAGGACCAGCTGGCGCCACCACTAACCTCCATTCTCGTCTTTGACATCTGTACCTCCCACTACACTTGGTGTAGCCCAGCACCTGAGGACAATCTAGGAAGCTGCTGCTGGAAAGGAATGCACAGGACTTGAGTCACCCTCACCTGAGCCGGCTCCTCTGTCCTGGTGGCCTGTCCTGGTGCCCTTTCTGCCAAGGGACCAAAGGCAGCAGTTGCTCAGCGGAAGATAGCTTGTCTTGGCCACTGCAGCCAAATCACTGAATCCAGCGTTTCTTCCACTGCATGGATTGAGAGCAACCATTTGTTAATCCTGTTATGTGTCCAGCAGACCTACTGAATGGGATATGAAATGGATCCAGAGGAAGATCCTTGCTCCTCAGGGAGAACAAGAAAGCACTTGCTCTGTGAGCAGCCCAAACTGAAGCGCAACTCATGATTTGCCACTGGGGAAAGACCTCACCGGGAAGCTTTCTCCCCTTCAAAACTTCCTGTTGGTAGACTATATTTTAGTAAATCAAGCCCTGAGAAGATTCTTTTTTAAGTAACGGACGGTAGTTTTGAAATGAGAATGCTCTCTTATTACCCAAATTATGGCAATACTCCAGAAATGTTATGGGGAAAATAGTTTTTAAAGAATATTTGAAAAGGACAGCCTGTCATAGGTTGCTTCCACACTACAGCTTTTTAGTATTATTTGAGATACTGCTTTTCCACAAACTGACTGGAAGCAGCAATAAAACAGAGGTTCCAAATAGACCTCTGTAATATTTATTCACAAGAAAGTCCTATTCAATGAAGAGCCCCTACAATGTTAATTAAAAGTTGACTCTTCCTGGAGGAGGGGTGCATAAATTTAATTACTGGTTTCCTTGTATCATTTTATTCTTCTATAATTAAATAACACTGTTTTCAAAGAAAGAGAAAAAAACGATGTAAGGAAAGCAGTAACTAAAGCCCCTGAACATAAGCTAACCAAAAAGTATAACGTATCACTAATTGTCCCAGCAGTGCTGGACAAGAAGCAATTAAACTTTGAGGAAACTTTAATCAAAGGAAGTCTTTTAAGGAAGTCTTAAAAGCTTTGATAATGTTTTGCCAGCACACACAGGACAAGCAGTAACTGCAATTGCATTTTATTGCAAGAGGCAGGAAAAATGTCATAAAACAGGTCTGGAAAAAACACAGGACGACAACACAGGAAACACTGGAAATGCAACAATTTGGCAACAAATTGCCAAATTTGTTAAGGATGGCTGTTTCAGAGAAACGGGCCAGTGTTGGAAGCAATCACAGTATGCAGTGGCTAGCTTTGTGGTTTATGGAAATTATTTAAACCAGATATATTTCATGGAAATTCACCTTTGATCAGGGGAGGAAAAGTGCCGTTTAATTTATGGACAGAAGATGAACCTTGTGTATTTTGAAATGGTTATGAGTTGAACCATACAGAAATCCCCCACCCACTCCCATGCATACCACGATCATCTGAGACCGAGAAGTGCCAGTTCCAAATTAGAGTGCAATTTCCCTTCATTTTGAAGGCATCAAGTTCTACTGAATACCTGTTAGTTTCAGATCGTGTTGTATAGTATCTCTTGCCAATGTATTGGGAATTTGGGCTTGGTTTATGAGCTCTTTGACTAGGATGTGTCCTGCTATTATTTGGAAAGCACTGTGTAACTATAAAAAATGTATTTTTGTACACATTAGCTACATAGTGCTACCTCAAATACTGTTCTAAAACCAATGAGCATTTGATGGTTTTAGAACAAATGCACAACACTCTGCTCCCTGCCCCCAGAGCACTTCTAAATTGGACAAGTATCCTTATAATTTAATCTCATTCACAACAAGGCCCCCAAACTCATCTGAGAGCACCAAGGCAGTCCCAGGTTCAAATCTCTGCTTGGCTATGAAGCCTAATTCATGACCTTGGGTCCTCCAAGTCCAATCTACCTCTCAGGGTTGTTGTTGTGAGGATAAAACAGGGAAGAGCATATCATGGAGCTCCTTGAAGGGTTGGATACCAATAAAATAAATGCAATGAAACTGATCTACTCACCCTCCTCTGTCTCTCTGGGATTGTCCACAACTTTGTCTTTCCTCTTTCCAGTGAATGGTACTAAACTTGTAGCTTGATGGAGGTAAGTTGTATCTGCTAACTTCTTTGTTTGAGGTCTAGCTATTCATATCCAGGCAATGTATGGCCATTCTTCATAGAAACAGGGGAAGTTAGCATTGAGGCTTTCACATTAATTGGAGGTAAGGAACCATAGATCCAACGCCTGGCTTTGTATTATCCTCATTCAGGCCTGCCTACACACTCTCTTTGCATATACTGCTTCCATTTCCTTATCCAGGGAAATCTGTCTAGTGCTATAGCCTATCTGAAGAGGTAGGTTCTGGGACTGGCAGGTTCTTACACATGCAGCATTTTTTATTTTTTTTATGGTGAAGCATTAACTCTCCCAGCCCATGCAAACCCCGCCCCCCATGCTGCTCTTATCTTTTCTGGCTTATTGGCCAACAACCCAAAAGTGACCCATGAAGCTAATTCACTTGATTGCTTTGCTCATCGCTTTTTGCAAGCTCGGAAAGGTGAATGTTAGAAGCAAATTGCAAGAAAGTCACTAGTGCGCCCTTTTCGAATAAATCTGTGGTGCAACAAGGTCAGAAGGGCAGTAGATAAATCTGTATCTCTGAGTGGTCTGTGGTAGATTGGAATGGATTTCCAACTCCCTATTGTTGATAGTAGCACCAAAATCTCTCCCTCACCCCCACCTTCCGCAGTTATACTGGGTAACTTCCTGGGTAACCAGAAATGGATTTTTAGCTCTTTTTCAGTTCTGTTACTCAAAACAAACTGAACTTAATTCTAAGGGTATGTCACTAGAGGAACACTGAGGTCAGAGGGAAATGAAATGTAAAAAAACAATCTAATGTGTTGAAACTTGAACTTATGTAAATAATTACAGTGATTATTCACAGAACAGTATCGATGGTAACACAAAGATGCTGGTATTGGTCAGGTAATTAGCACTTGAAATTAGCGGGCTAAAAACCCACTAACTTGCTTCAAGCCACACAAGTGATAAATGTTAACAACTTGCAAAATTACAATTACAGTAGTGCCTCGCAAGACGAAAAGAATCCGTTCCGCGATTCTCTTCGTCTAGCGGTTTTTTCGTCTTGCGAAGCAACCCTATTAGCGGCTTAGCGGATTAGCGCTATTAGCGGTTTAGCGGCTATTAAAGGCTTAGCGGCTTAGCTGCTAAAAGGCTATTAGCGGCTTAGCGGCTTAGAAAAAGGGGGGAAAGCGAAAAAAAATTGCAAGACTCGCAAGACGTTTTCGTCTTGCGAAGCAAGCCCATAGGGAAAATCGTCTTGCGAAGCAACTCAAAAGCGGAAAACCCTTTCGTCTAGCGGGTTTTCCGTCTTGCGAGGCATTCGTCTTGCGGGGCACCACTGTAATTGGTTTCACGCTGGAGTCTTCCTTCAACATTTGTTTACAAATGATCCTTTAAGGCCAGTAACGGTGTCGGAGATGTTAAAATATTCACTGAACAGTTTCTGATTACCGCCCTTTCTAACGCCATTATTGTGTCTATTATTTTGGGTGTTGGGAGAAAGTAACATGGGGGGGTGCTCCTCTGTGAGTGGGTGCTTTGGGTTCAGAGTCTCTTAAATAACTAGTGCTCTGGCACTGTCTGGGAATGCCTGCGCTAGTCTTTTAAGTTCAAACAGTTAGGATACAGCAATGTCCTGATAGCACCATTCATGCTTGGGCTGACACCAAATGCCTTGTTTACTTAGCTATAAATGGATGCCTGATCCAGTGAGCTGATGCAGTTCAAAGGTGGCTATACCTGGCAGGAGGCCAAATCCCTTTCGTCTGTTTTCATAAAAGATTTTTAGAAACAAATACCACCCAAGCCAGATGCCTCAGTTAAGGATCCGAATTCTGTATGCTACAGCTGATTTCTAGCTCCATCCTGCCTCTGTGTGACCTACAATGGTATTTTCTATGTTTGTTCTGGCTTTTTTTGTTGCTGTTGTTGTTGCTTGGTTGGCTCACAGACATTCTCATATGTTCACCTATGAACTTTGGGGGCACTATATATACTTGATACACCTTCCAGGTTTGGTTTTGTTTTTAGTTAGCCCCTTTTCTGTGCAATGAAACACATACAGTGCAATGTTGCGTATGCTTAGAGTTTGGTCTAGTATCAATTCAGTGTACCGTCATCTTCTAGCAGCATGTTTAGCAGTACTTTTAGCTTTGCTCCAAGTTGGGCTACCTGGAATGCAACTTTCCAAGAGCTGTGCAGCCTCAAAAGATGCTGAGGGAAATGACCCCCATTCTGTATTACAATATTCCGTAAGTCAGATGCACTGCCTTGGGAGAGCTAAAATCTCGCCCTCCTTATGTTCCACCGTATGCTGAACAACCTAAGAGTAGCACATTAAAATGATTAAGACCAGCGTTACTATTTCCCAATTTTTATTTTCAGTTTCAGTAGCTTAGTATACTTATTTGCATTGCAAATTACTTCAGCTGGACTAAATACTGAGCAGCTGGACTAAATATTGAGCACCATTACCAACAAGATCAGAATCCCAATTTCACCTGTTAGCATGCACTTTAAAAAAAGGGAAAATCTACCCTTTAGCATTTGTTCACCACCCCGATTGAAAGGACAACTTAACTTACAAAGATCTGTTCAGCACCAAAATGAAAACGGGCCTGACCCTTTGATTAAATAGGTTAGTATCTCACCATCCTAAGATACCTAGAATGCAGGGGATATCACTCAGCCTGTGAAGGGGTCAGATGCCTCTGGGCATCTCTTTCACAAGTGTCTCTCCAAGGCATTTGCATAGCTGAGGCAGATGCTCCTGGAATTTTGGCACTCCGGGCCATTGCCTAGTTTGTCTCTAGGTTGGGCCGGCCCAGCACTAACCTATAACAAACCTATAAGAACGTAAAGAAGAGCCTGCTGGATCAGGCCAGTGGCCCATCTAGTCCAGCATCCTGTTCTCACAGTGGCCAACCAGTCGCCCGTGTGAAACCCACAAGCAGGATTTGGGCACAACAGCACTCTCTCCACGTATATGCTGTACTCTAGTAAAGAGAGGCGTATGTGTCCTCATCTTTGTGACTTCCGCAGCAGGCATTCCAGTTAATAAGACAACATTTTAGGAGGAGGTGACCTGGCTTTTTTTTTTGTAGCAGCAGTGAGAATCCAATCTCTCTACTTGTCTCTTCAAGTCATCTGTTCTACATGGCTCCTACTTCTATCACCCAAAAACTATGCAATAGTAATTTTTTTTTAAAACTAGCTTGCTATGCCAAGCTTCTTTTCGAAGCCTGAGGTTTGGTCTAGCTCTTCTCATAAGGCAGTCAAGAACAGTACTATACAGATGTCGCCTGCTTACGCTTGAATTTAGTGTGCCAAATGGAGACTTGAAGGAAGTACACAGCTACCTTAGGAAGGAATGAGAGGACAGGTGAGGGGAACAGGGAGACGTTATCTAGAACGACAGCCTGTTATGTTAGAGGGGAAATTGCCAAAGCAGATTCCCCAGAACCTAAAATGAAAAATACAAAAAGTCATGTTACCTCTTGCTAAGGAGTGAGACAGACAGACAGGCAGACAAAACAGACAGAAAATCTGATCTCTCTCCTTTTCCCTACCAGATAAAAAGAAGCTGCAGTTCTGCACAATTTTTGCCTGTTTATTGAAAAACCATGCTTATGGACAAACACACAGCTACTATGTGCCATGATAACTTTGGTTTGGCCTCTTCCCGCAATACCAGTCTCCACTGGATTTTGGGCAGCACTACATTTCCCCTCCCCTGCAAAGGTGATGGGGGCAAGATATCTATAGCCCTCTCTTCCCTTCCCACCACCAGAACGGAGGATGCGTTAAGAATCATAGAGTTGGAAGGGATCCCCAAGGGTCATCTAGTCCAACCCCCTGCATTGCAGGAAGGCGCCCTCCACCAGGGAAACCCACACCCAGTTTAGAACAGCTCTTCAGGGCTCCGCGTCTGCCACTGGTCGCAGGTCAAGTACTGCCTGTTCAGATCAAAATCAACTGCGAACAAAAGAAAGGATGACTCAAGTCCCAAGAACGATCTGACCACTTGCAGGGTACGGGATGAGGAGGGAAAGTCAAGGAGGCAATGTGGTAGTAGACACTGGACGATGGCTGGGGGGCTGATAGGGGATCCGTAACTTCAGTTCCGTTTCTTGAGCTGCGATGTTGCTTCTACTTCAAGATATTGCAGTCCAATCAACATACCCAGGATGGAGAAACCTGAGACAGATGGAAAATGAGAGGAAGCAGAGGACATTGCTACCCCTTCTATATCTTTAGGAAGTGTTAGTTGCATTTGGTTACTAAAACCCCCATTTCAGCTCTGTTCGGTTATGAAGCTTACTTGCTGGCTTTGGCCATATCACTGTCACTTAGCCTGTCCAACTAAACCATTGCAGGGAAAGTGTGAGGGTAAGTTTGTGATCTTCTCAGGGGAAAAGCAGGCTACAGCTTTACCAAGCCAAGCACCAGGCACCAAAGAATGGGCTCTACTTACTTGCCACCATTAGGGGTGCCAAGACACCGATTGTTGCAGCTGCTGTGCCATAAATAAACACTTCAGAGAGGAAGTGGCCGAGGGCAAGGAAGAAGGTCAAAAGTGTGATGTTATAGAGGCTGCCAGAGAGAACAAAAAAATGAGAATTATTGCAGGCCACAGAGAGATGCCGACAAAGAAATTAAGAGTCAAGGAGTTAAAAAACACACAAAGCAAACACACTCACGTTTTTGCACTATGTCAGCGACAGCCAATATGATGATGCCTTCAAAATGCTGTTGGACTCCATCTCCCATGAGACCCCACCAGCATGGCCAGTGGTCAGGGATAATAGAAATTGGAGTCTAGGAACATCTGGAAAGCACCACACTGGCTATCTGGTAATACAGGTACATGCTAGACTGGCTTCTGCATTTCTTGGAAATGACAGAGAGCCTCTTTCGTTGCTCAAATGGCAATTCAGATGAGCTGGTTCAGTCCATCTTCCACCCACTAGTCACCACATGGGATATATGGCCTTCCCCAGGCTGATTAATATGATTAAGAGCATGGATGGCAAGGGGTGCACCAAGTTGTGGTAGCTGGTATTGCTTTGGTTAAAGCAAGATGGATAAAAATCAACTGTGATTTTTTATTTATTTTAAAAGTTTTATTTTAAAAATAACCAGGTTTGAAGTGACCCTCGATTTACCATCAAAATGTTGAAAACCTACACATACAGCACAACCCTATATATCTTCCCAGAAGTACATCCCACCAACCAACATTGCTCCCTCACCTGCATGGTAAAAAATTACTTTGGTATTATCTAAATCCCTCTTCTTATTAGGGCTAAATAGACATCACAATTGGAAAAGAACTGGGGACAGGTTTCAGACTTGCCACGTAACTCTGGGGAAGCAAACAGACCAAGTGCCCATTCTCCTTTAAAAGGACACGTCACCTTGTCGAATGACACAGTGCAAATAGCTTCCCCTCAGCATGCAGTTCCTTGCCACTCTGGGAAATGGGAGATGAAGCTGCCAACTTCGATGATAAAAAAAAGAGCGCTACTGTGGCTTTTCACACATTATTCCTGTCAAGCCAACAGAGTGGAAGGAGGGTGAGCTGGCTTGCATCTCTGGAACAGACTCCTCAGCTAAACTCTGATCACTTATGCTTGCGCAGAGGGTAATGGGGACAGCATAGTGCTTTGAAGTCATGGAAGTATTACTAATGAATGAGGACGAAATGGCTACATTTTACTTTAAGTATGTTTGCAGCACTGGCAGTTAAGAAAAGAATTGCAATCCAAAAACCTTGCCCTGTGTGCTTTCAAGTCCACATCTTTCTCTGTAAATAAGTGACATTTAAATTGTGTTTGCAAATGTATTATTTCAATCATGTTGATTTTAAATAAATATATGAAATAGAAACGAAAACCCTGGTATGTTTATATACTGTATGCCATTTGCTTTCCAGTCCTAGGCCATCAAGGTTGAAACCCCAGCTTGAGCCATGATGCTTACTGGGTAACCTTGGGCCACTCACAATCTTTCAGCCTAATCTTGTTGTGAGGATAAAATGTGGAGAAGAGAAATGTGTATGCCAGCTTGAGCTCTGTGGAGGAAAGGTTGATCTAGAAATGCAATAAATAAAGCAGACTGCGCAACTAAAATCAAACTGCAAATTGTGTAAATGGCCAGTTTTGTGTAACTGAGGATGCTTTAACCAGGACTGGGATGATGGAGGGCAAGGGGTGAAAGGAGGAAGAATGGTCTTCATCCTGATGATTATAAACATGTCAGTCTTACTGACAGGCAGTCTATTGCAGAGGACTGAAAGCTATTGTGGGTGAACTCAGAGCTGTGCTTCCTTATAGAGGTCCCATATGCCCAACTTGCTATTTTTATAAATTTCTCCAAGCAACTATCCAACCAGACTTCAAATGCTCCCACCTGCTTTTCTTGTATAAAAAGGTTACCAGCTTCAAAAGCTCTTTGCATTATCCATCAACATCTTTGTTGATAAATCTTTGCATTTGATAAATCTTTGCATTTATCCATCAACTTTAACAGTTTGTTATTTTTATCACAGGAAGCCTTCCACTGGCAGTTCAAGACCAAGACAGTAGACTGTTGTCCCATCTTAAGCCTCCTGCAGAGGCTCTCCTGACCTCTCAGGCAAGCAAACTAGGTCTCTTAGCACACACAGTGCCAAGCTAATGCTGAAGTCAAGCCAAATAGAAACATAAGCTCAGCCCATTCATGCATATGGCTTTCTTGGAAATCACCGACACAAAATATATGAATGGAATAGAAGTTCCAAAAACAACTTCCAACAGAAGATGACTGAAGTGTACTTGCGAGCTATCCAAATATTACCAAAAGATAGGGAGAATACCTAATTAGAGTGTTTCCACTTTTTATTCCAGACCTCTAAACAAACATGTGCTATAGAATAACTACCTACATTTTGATTTTGCATCAGTATTATGCTAAACAGTCTTTCCTTCATGCCTGTGCGAATGAAGCATTTCAAGAAAATAACACTTGTTGTCTCAACTGCACAAGCTACTTGATAAAAGAGTTTAGGATAACCGGGAGGGAATCAGGCAGTGACACCATGAGGGTCTGCGCCAGCCAGATTATTCCCTCCTCCCATATAACCAACACCATCAGCCATGTGAGAAGGAAAAGGAAGGGCATGGGGAGGGTTTTATTTTTAATTGCCGGTATAAGATGTGTAAAATTGTAAATCGGCTCTAGAGCCTTGGCAAAAAAGGTGGTATAAGAACCAATAAATAAATAAACCATTGCCCTCCAGATAAGTGTTGGACTACAACTCCCATCTTCCCTGACCAATGGCCATGCTGGCTGGGTCTGATGGGAGGTGGAGTCCAACGACACTTGGAGGGCCACAGGTTACCAACCCCAGCTATAGGGGAATAGAAAAGTGTTACTGTGGCACCCAAGTGTGTACATGATTGGGAGGTGGGTAAGACAACGCCCCCCTTTAGCATTTATTTTACATACGTCTTGTTGCGGATATCAATGGCACAGTAGCAGCGAATTACAGAGGAGAGTAAGGTCCAAATGCCAAAGGTCCGAGCCTGGAGGCCATTTACTGTGTAGAGATAACAAATATAGAATTACTAGGGTCTGTCGCCCCGCTTGCTCCGCTCACTACCCCCACTGACCCCTTTGTCCACCCCTCCTCCCTTTACACATGACCAACCTCTCTTTATGCTCGCTGACCCCTTACCCATCCCCTCACAGCCCCCTCCACAGTTCAGCCCAAGCCCCTCTGCCCATTCCTCCTGCCAGCCCATGCCATCTTTTAAAGGAGGGGTCAAGGGCTTCGCAGAGCAGTTTGGCAAACTCCAATGTGATGGCAGGCAGGTGGCCAAGGAAACCTGTTTAACAACGAAGCAAGCACTTCACCAAGCAGTTTAACAAACCACTCTGAAGCACCTGCCCTTCTCCATTAAGCCTTATTGCAGCCATGGTTACTGGTGGGAGGGGGACGACCATTTGGGAAGCGCTTTCCAAAATCGCTCTGTGAAGCACATCCTCCCGTTTAAACAGCCTGCCTAGGCTGCCTGCCACCAAGTCGTCCACCTGCCTGCCATCATGGTGGAGTTGACAAAGGCAGCCACATGAACTGCAGCATAACAACCATACATTTTATGTATATATGGGTGGGGGGCAACTATCTTTTCTGATACTCTCCCAGTCTAGGCAAAGCTAAGCAGTAGGTATGGATAGGGCTCAAGACTAATGGAGTTGGAAAGTGTCGTAGGGGTCAAGGTCTTTCCAAATGATGGAGCAATGCTACTATCAATACACAAGGGAGCAGGGGAAATGCTACTAGCAGTTAATTAAAACTACTCGTTTACTTGAAGTTTGGTTTACTGGTACTTCAGCTGAAGACAGCAGATCCCTGTCTCTGTACACATAAGAGTATATGGTTGTGTTTGGGGTGGAAGGACTAGTCTTAAAAAATGTAGATGAGCTATTCAGCTTTGGACAGGAACGCATGTATAGCTTTGAAGGGGACAATATTCTAGAAAAGGTGGCAGTGAATTCAAAATGGTGTGGAAGAGCTTCATAATGTGCCAGGCAGTGCTTCAATAGGTGCCTATGCCTCTATCATAAGGTCTATTCTGCATAAAAAGACACCCATAATATTTGCACTTGCTGGGCCAAGAGATACCTTTTACTAACAATTCTGGTTAGTGGCTTGAATGCTGTTCAACAGTGATTGTCTGCAATGGGAACTTTTGCTGGGATGATGTCATCTGTGTGGTTGAGTGCCAGCAGCACAGTCTTTTCAGATGGACCATAATGTCTGGAAATGCCCAAAGCTCATAATATGGCAGGATTTGCTAGACTCTTCTTGTACCGTGAGTATAATTGTATTACATAAGTGTCTGAGATTGTATTTCTTAGATGGGGAAATATAGTGGATTGGCTGATTGTAGAATCAAAGGACATGTGGAACTGTGCGTTCACTTTGAAGCAAATAAGCCCATAAGGACCCATGGAAAATGCTCGTTTTAGTACTGCAGTAAATGCTTGAGACCACTCCAATGTGGATATGGAACTACACTATCTTCTGCGATAATGCATTATGAGGTGGCAGAATATCACTACAGGTGAAAGGGAAATTAATGGAAAGGGCTTTAACTCAATGGCAGAGGACATGCATAGTATGCAAAAGGTCTCAGGTTCAAGGTCTGGCATCTCCAAATAGGGATGGAAAATTCCTACATCTGCAACCCAGAAGAACCACTGCCAGCAAGAGTAAAGAGTAAATAAGTGAACCAATGGATCTATTTGGTATAAAGCTGCACCTTATGTTCCTAAGGGCTATCTGACACATTTGCAACTATGTGGTCTTATATTTATTTCACCACATACACATGCTCCAGAAAGCTATAATGGGCCCCTGGCTCTCCATTTCATGTACAAATAGTGAAACAAACACAAGCCTCTTTTTTTACACATCATTGAGGTTTTAGTATACCAAAGGTACGCAGAGCGTTTCACCTAAATTTGTAACACATTTAGCGGCCTTCAAGCTGTCACTGTTCAAGCAAAAATAGCACTAGCCACCTCTAGAAGTTTAAGTAAGCAGAAGGTGGGTTATTTTGAAATCTGAACAAAAATTTTCAGAGCTCAGGCAAGAAAACCCAGGATTAAGGTTCCAGCATTTCTTGAGTGCAAAAATGACAACATGTGCATCTTACCGAGGCTTGGTTTGCCAGTGTATAGTTTCTCAGAGAGGAAACTGTGATCTCTGAAGCTTTGCACTGTGTTCCCCATGGCAATAATGGACACCATAACTAGCCAGCTACGGAGTACATTCAGGAAACGGCTCATCTTGAAGTGTCAAAACACAATCTGCCTATGGGAACAAAGACAGAATCCAGAATTCACAATGCTTCCATGCATCATAATTCAGTCACCCTCCTTTAACTATGTCTGTAACCTTTCTTCCTAAAGTAGCGTAAAGGGGCTTCATAAGAATCACAGCAAGGGCCATATGCTTATTTTATCATTCCCCTCCATCCAATTTGCCCTATACGATAGCATTCCATAATAATTACAAAGATGGAAATCTTACCCGCATCGTCCACAAAGCCACTGGCCTTTCTTCCAGATAGGACTGGTAGCTAGCTGTCTTTACTTTGATCCTCTGCATGCTGCCTTGAGGTTAAACCACAATGGACACGGTAGGGCTTATTTCACAGTAAATACTTTTAGAATTGGCTATTGGAGACAGGATCAGTCTTGAGAAATCATTTTATGTTCAAAATCCTAATTTAATCTATAGCAGAGATAGCTGGCTGCCCAAGGGGAAAAAAGGGAGCATGAGGCACAGTTGGTTTTCCTATTAAGATGCTTAGCTTTGTGCCTACATAGCTATATCCAGTTTAGAAGATTGCATTTAGGAATGATGATCTTAAAAGCTAACTCGCTTCTTTGCAGCCTTGTAGTTGGCCCTAGCATTAACCATTCTCGCCCCTCTCCCACTGAAGGGACCAACCTACAACGTTTGTACCTACAACGTTTGTCATATTTAGGAATGCCCTCAGCTCGCCCAAATTCAGTTCCCACGCTGCAATGCCACCTGCTCGCTTGCCTCCAAACCTACCCGCATCCACATCGCGCCTCTTGGTTATCCTCCACCCTCAAAATGCAACCCCACCCATCAATGGACACCCTACATCGCCTTACCTGTCCTCAGCCGCAGCAGCTCTCCACCCTCCCTTAAGCCAGAGCAGCAGCAGCAGCAGCAGCAAGCACCAGTCCCGCCTCCCCGCACTCTACGCAACGATTAGCGCACTGTTGGAGCTTGCCTTCCCCTGATTGGCCGCTACGCCCATAGCTAGACCTCTCCTCCGCGCCACATGGAAGGGTAAGCGACTGCGCCAATCACGCGCGTGGAACCCTTCTGAGGCGCTGTGACGTTTTCATCAAAGGCGGGGTTAGAAGAACCGACGGCGCTACGGCCTCCTCGGTTCATTTTCTTTCTTTCTTTTTTTTTAACAGAGGGAATCTTGCAAGACGCCATCTTAGCAGAGGCAGAGGTTCGAACGAACGGGCGAGTGTTCCTTTGTGCGCACGCGCTCGAGGAAGGAACCCGAGCGGGAGCCGAGAGCCGGCGCTTGCGCAGACGCGTCTTGGGCGAGGGAGGGAACGGTTGCCTGTTGGTTGTTGTAGTAACAGGAGAAGCGCCGGCGGGAGACGCGGCTACCGGGCCCGAAGGGAGATGAAGCAGCAGGTAGGGCGCTGGGGGAGCCCGGCAGTGACGGCGCTGGCAGCTGCAGAGCTTGCTTAGGCAGGCGGGTTGTGCTTGGGCGGCGGCAGCTTCTTCTCCCCCGCTCGACAGGAAGGACCGGGCGGGGGGGGACAGGACCTGCCTTGGAACCGAGGGCGAGGGGCGCCTCTCGCCCCAACAGCCCCCTTTTGCCTAAATAGAGGGCCAGGCCAGGGCGGCCCGCCTGGCTGGCTGAGCAGCAAAGTTCGCGGAGTTCACATCGGTGATTCCTGAGGGCCACGTGCAGGACCGACTTTCCCCTCACACTTTCACCCCCCAACCCCCTACAGACCCCGTTTGAGGGGGAAATGCGTCCTGTGGGAACGGTGTGCGCTTCAAGTTGGGGCTGAGAGACGTCGCTACCCACTTGCAGTGTCTCCCCCCTCCTCCCCTCGGTGTCCCTGCACCTCAATCCCTAGGGCTGCCTGATTAAAATTAAACATCTTATTTTGAGCAAACTCCGCAGTTTTGGGTTGCGGAGCGACGTTATCCCACTGTCGTGTGTATGGGGAGGGATTTGAGTTTCATTTTGAGGAAGGAACTGTAGGAAAGCTTGCCTCGGGCTGCCGGGAAAAGAGCCCCAAAAGTCACAGTAGGAGAGTGTGAACCGAATAAAAAGTTGATAAGGAAACGGTGCTGAGCTGAATCTGGGTTGAACTTCTGACAACCGGCAAGTTTTCAGCACAGGCGCCTCTCTCAGCTCTCCCCTTCCAGTCTATGGTATATTGTATAATCTTTCAAGACGGTAGATTAGAGCCGGTGAATTAGTGGGCGATATATGTCAACGTGTCTGGGATAAGGATATATGTAACTGTCAGGTTGTGACTGGAGTGGATATTTTAAGTGTGGATTCCCATAGCGGTACAAGTAGTGTAACTCAACTCACCTGGAGGAGGAAGACAATCGTAGTACAGCCTTCTGCCAGTTATTTATTCATTTAATTTTATCAGGTATATTTATAAACCTCTGAGCATCAAGATAATGCCATGCACTATACAGAAATACAAATAAAATAAGTAAGAAAAGATAAGCGTTCTCAAAATGCAGGAGGCACTGTTGCCGTTTCTGCATGAAGTGCCTGTGAAAATACGGCTTAGATCAGTATTAAAGGTGGTCTGTTAGAGAGTATTAATTATTCATATTGATATCCTCCCCTTTCTCTAATAAGCTCAGGGTGGTGTATCATATTTTATCCACTCAGCAATATTGTGAAATAGTAACTTCGCTCATAGGCATTGTGATTGAGGGGGATTATTACCTATGTTCTCGATACCCAGATACGGCACTCTTGTCATGACACCACCCTGACTTTTTTTGTAAGGGAGGAAATAATGTCAGGGTACTCCATATCTGCCACTGATGTTGGGAAAGATGGAGGGCACAAGGAGAAGGGGACGACAGAGGACGAGATGGTTGGATAGTGTTTTCGAGGTTACCAGCATGAGTTTGACCAAACTGCGGGAGGTAGTGGAGGACAGAGGTGCCTGGCGTGCTCTGGTCCATGGGGTCACGAAGAGTTGGACACGACTAAACGACTAAACAACAACAACTCCATATCTGCAGTTTACTCAAAGCAGTCATTTTATTATTGTTGTTGTAGAAAACAGCACTGGTGGATAGGTTTACTGATTCTACGGGGGAGAGTTTGAGAGGCCACCGTTTCTGGGCTGTATGAAAACGTCCACAGGAAATGCCCGTTGGAATGGCTCGGGACTTGGAAGAAACAGATTCGTCCTCAGAGGAAGAGGAAGTGGTGGAAGGACCAGAGTGAGTTAACATGGTACCTGTATATGACATTGAAACTGTACATCTTGCATCTCATCATCCATACTTAGAAGATTCTTTCTCGTCGTGCATGAAAGATCAGTTTTCAACTTGCACCTGAGTATTCTTTTAGAGCCTGAAAAGCTGTGTTCTGTAATTCTGGAGTCAGGAAGATGGAATAGTCATACATGAACATACAAAGTTGTGTTATACCAGATCAGACTGTTTGTCCATGTAGTCCAGTGTTCTCTACTCTGACTGACTGTGACTCTCCAAGCTCTTTCTTGCTCTCTGATCGTTTAACTGCATATAATAATAATAATAATTTTTACTTATACCCCGCCCTCCCCGTCCAAAACCGGGCTCAGAGCCGCTAACATCAAATGTATAACACATTAACATAAAATCAGGCAATCAATTAAAATACATCCTAAAATCAGATCAAGATCAGAATAAAATCCAGTCAGATGGCAACCTGGGGACCTTAAATGCTCACCAGGCCCAACTGTTTGTGCTGAACTTATATGAGCCTATGAGAAAAATTGGGAGGCCACTTTCATGCACGTTCTTATGAAAGGGGAGAGGGAGTCAGACCCCAACCAAAGACCTGGCGGAACAGCTCCGTCTTGCAGGCCCTGCGGAAAGATGTCAAATCCCTCAGGGCCCTGGTCTCTTGTGACAGAGTGTTCCACCAGGCCAGGGCCATGGCCAGTCTAATCTCCTTGAGGCTTGGGACTTCCAAGATGTTAGTATTTGCAGACCGTAAGGTCCTCCGTGGGGCATACCAGGAGAGGCGGTCCCGTAGATATGAGGGTCCTAGGCCGTATAAGGCTTTAAAGGTTAAAACCAGCACCTTAAACCTGATCCTGTACTCTGCCGGGAGCCAGTGAAGCTGGTATAGCACTGGATGAATGTGATTCTGTGTCAAGGACCCCATAAGGAGTCTCGCTGCGGCATTCTGCACCCACTGGAGTTTCTGGGTCAGCTTCAAGGGCGGCCTCACATAGAGTGAATTACAATAATCAAGCCTGGGGGTGACTGTTGCATGGATCACAGTGGCAAGATCAGGGCGAGAGAGGTAAGGGACCAACTGCTTAACATGGCGGAGATGGATAAATGCCGCCTTTGTTGTAGCTGTAACCTGCACCTCCATAGAAAGGGCGTTGTCGAAGATTACACCCAGACTCTTCACAGAAGGCGCTGGCACTAATTGCGCCCCTGCAAGAGATGGGAGTTGGCCCACCAGCCCCATGTCGTCCCGACCCAGCCAAAGGGTCTTCGAAGGATTTAACTTCAACCGGCTCCCATGGAGCCATCCAGCCACAGCTTCCAAGCACCTGATTAGTGTGTCTGGGGCCAAGTCAGGATGGCTGTCCATCTACAGATAAAGTTGGGTGTCATCAGCATACTGGTGGCAACCCAAACCAAAACTCCAGACAAGCTGGGTGAGGGGGCATATAAAGATGTTAAAAAGCATTGGGGAGAGGATTGCACCCTGCGGCACTCCACACACCAAGGAGTGCCATGACGACAACTCCTTCCCTAGTGCCACCCTCTGTCCCTGACCTGAAAGGAAAGAGCGCAGCCATTGTAGGACTGTGCCCTAAATCCCCACGTCGAAAAGGTGGTGGCTCGTAATCGACTATGTCAAAGGCTGCTGACAGATCTACAAGAATCAGCGGCCCTGACCCGCCTTGATCCAGCTGCCTACAGCGGTCATCTGTTAGGGTGGTCAGAACCATCTCGGTCCCATGACCAGGGCGAAAGCAGGACTGAAATGGATGGTGGGGACTGAACTTAGGATCTTCTACATGCAAAGCACTTGCACTATCACTGAGTTATGGGTAGGATATTATTATTATTATTATTATTATTATTACCATGAGGCAGAGTGAGACAGCTGCCTCAGGTGGCAGATTGGAGAGAGCTCTGTGTGTGTGCTATGCAAACCTTTCCCTCATCCACTAAACTAGGCCCCTTCCCTTAGGGTGCTGTGGAGGATGTGGAAATAAGATTAAATTGTTTGCTGAGCTATTGTATGTATAATAGACTCCTGGGAGGCAACTTTTCGCCCTTTGCAATATGCCTTTGGCTGGCTCTGGCTTCTTTCTGGATGGTTATCTTTAATTATTACCAATTTTTATAATCTTGTTGTTGATCATCTTTGATACAGCCATGACTTACTAATGGGTCCTTTGGTGGTTGCCACCAACCCCCTCTCTTTCCCCAAGTCTTTTGGAGTGCATGGAGAACTCTGAAAGGTGGAGGTTATTCTCTCACCTGTACTGTGGTTTGGAAAAAACTTTGTTGTTTCTTATCCAAAGTACAAGGCAAGTGAGATAAAACCCTGCTTGCTAGAGAGTGGGTAGTGATCTGTGCTCATCTGTATTCATGTTTAGAGAAGGTGAGAAACATCAATTGATTTCTTAGCTTCTCTAAATTGTTTGTACTTGAACATCCATCTAACCTGAGAGCCTGAGCAGCTCTGGATCTGTCAATGCTTGAAGGTAAATAGAAGATGATACTGAAATACAAGAGGGAACCTTATCCTGTTTCATATGCTGTATATGTAGAGGTCTGAATCTTCTAAAATGTTAGTCCTGAGCCATAGAGAAATGGTACAATAGAGAAAAAACCTCTTGCTAACCAGTCATGCTACTAGCATCAAGTGGCAGCAGTATCTATTCCTGAGTAATATGTATGGCGCTTCTATCCCAGCTTGTTGCTATAAGATCATTTGCATAGTATTAAG